TCCATAGCATCTAATTACTTTGAAATTCCTTAAAAACTTGAGTAACTACAAAATGCAAAGAACACATCATGTGCTTTTTTGGTCTTTAACATCTAATATTTATCATGTTACAGGAACACTCAGGGGAAAAATCAATCACATGGGAAAATTGATTCAGCTATATTTTGAGTCACATAACAATGCATCAACAACTTTTTGAAATAATTTTTAATGGCTTCCTTGATAGGCATTTAGGTTACCCTTAGTTCCCATGTCTAAAAGGCACAAGTGAAACTGCTAACATGAATTTATTTCATGGATAAAGTAACAATAACTGCCTTACCAACTTCCTGGGGCCTGGTCAGGGCTGGTCTAATTTTTATCCATTTTATCATGGTTTATTCCTTTTTCTTTAAAGATATCTGATGCCCAGTGAAGAATTCTTTCTCCCTATGAAACTGATCTGTTGAAATAATCACTGAAAAGGGAATAATTTACTATTAGTTTCATAGAAACCAATCAAGATGTGTGAGCTGCTTTTTTCCCCATATATTTAGGTTCAAATTAATGACCCTTGGAGGCAACAATATCAGAGATAATTTTAGAGTTTGTCATTTTCTAAATCTGAAGTCTTTCAAAATAAAGCTTCTTTTTTTTAGATAGCGATATTCAGTCAACAGTGACTAAAAGATTTATTTAAATTAATTTTGTATCCTTTTACAGACAGTTTCTAGAAGGAGAAAGGATTATTAAGCATACACTTGCTTTTGTGTTATGGTTTATTGAGCAAATATTTATTATCTGTTAAATAAAATATTTCATCTGAAAATGTTATCCTAAATATAACATCTTACTAAAATATTACATAAATCCATGGGTTGAGCATTGACCCATTAACCAAGAGGTTATCAATTCAATTCCCAGTCTGGGCACCTGCCAGATTTGCTGTCTGGATCCTCAGCAGGGAGCATGCAGGAGACAGCCAATCAATGTGTTTCTGTATCAACATTGTTTCTCTCTCTCACCCTTCTTATCTCTCTCTCTTAAAAAAAATTTTTTTAAATAAAATATCACATAAAATGCAGTATAGATATTTTTTAAAGAGCATTATTAAAAATCAGAAGGCAAAGAAATGATTGAGTCCATTCCACTAAGTTAAAATTTAAATAAAAGGAGCCTGATTGGAGGATTTCTTGCCTTTTTCCAACCCAGACCATCTTTTCAATTCCTACTCATTCCCTCTCCCTGGAAAAAAAAAAAAAAAAAAAAGTATTACCCACCCATCAACCCAATAGATCTTTTCTTTACTATTTTACCAAGTAGGGAAAAAAACTTCATAAACTTCATATTTTCCATCTTTCAGAACTGAATTGTTGTGATTCAAGCTCATAAACCGAGAAGAAAGACTCAAATGTAAGGAGCATTTTTGGTTATTTTACAAAAGGAAAATCATCACTATTAGATTGAGTAAGAGGGTTTTTCCCTTCTAATCTAAAACGTTAGGGAAAATTTCAACATGGCTTATAAAGGAATTTAGTAGCTTGGATTTCATTAACACAATAACAAATAAATGTAAATATTGGCAGCCCTATAACCTCAAAACAGTTACTATGATATAAGAAACTAGGATTTAGCTATTAGTGTTGCCTTCGTAATTTCATTACTGTGGCTTCTTTGCACACTTTCTCCAGTGACGCAAATACAGACGTGATTTTTGGAACATCAGACTTATGGCTGCCTTCTCTCTTCTTCATTACTTAGGTTGGACAAACGGCCACAATCACTTGCCAAAAATAATCCCACAGTTCAGTAAACTTTAGTCTTGAGGTCTGCTGTGTCCTCCTTATACCACCAGTAGCCTTGTCTCTTGGAGATCAGAAATTGGACACTTCTTTTTGATGTTTAACAAACCAGACTGTTTCTTAACCTCTAAGGATGAATACAGCAAAACAAATTTTCTAAGCAACATCACTAGAAACAGGAGCAAATTCCTTTGGAATGCATCCTCTCTAACAGACCAAATTATTGTTCTATCAAGCTTCATGATGTTTGTATTAAGCTGATGATAATGGTAAAGTCTATAATAGGGTAAGATAATATAAGTTATGTGTATTTTCTTTTATCAATATTCATATACAGAAATGACTAAAGACTCACCAAATTTTGATAATGTAATATTTGTATTATTTTGCTGCAGTCAGCTTTGAGAAACTAAGGGTAAAAATATTATTTTTAAATATATTTTTGATTCTTTTACAGAGAGGAAGGGATAGGAATAGAGAGTTAAAAACATCAATGAGAGAGAAACATCAATCAGCTGCCTCCTGCACACCCCTATGGACGATGTGCCCGCAACCAAGGTACATGCCCTTGACCGGAATCAAACCTATGACCCTTCAGTCCGCAGGCTGACGCTTTATGCACTGAGCACAACTGGTTAGGGCTATTATTCTTGTACTATAACCAATCCCATGAAATTAAAGTTAAAATGGGGAGCTTAGTTAATTCCATCAACCTTCCTGTTCCCTATTCCTCCCTTACCAGTTACCACCTCCCCTCAGCCCACCCTATATACACTTTCTTTACTATATTTTAGGAAAGATTTTCAACCTCATTCCTTCTCCCTTCTGTTTTCTCAGCTTCGTAATTTTGTATAACCTTTCTAATGCTTTCCAGTGGATTATGCTAAAGTATCTATTGGTACTTTAGAAGGATAATATGCTAATTAGACCAGGAGACCTTCTGGTAGCAGGGCCAAGTCAGAGGTGGCTAGGAGCGATCAGGCCAGCAGTAGGGGGGCAGTTGGGTGGCAGGGGGGGTGCAGTTGGGTGCGATCAGGCGGGTAATGGGGGACAGTTTGGGGCAAGAAGGCCAGTGGGGGAGGAGGGACAATTGGGGGCGAGCAGGCCAGCAGGCAGTGTAGTTAGAGGTGATCATGTAGGCAGACAGATGAGCAGTTAGGACCTAGTGGTCCCAGATTGTGATAGGAATGTCCCAGAATGGAGAGGGTGCAGGCCAGGCTGAGGGACACCCCTCCCATGCACGAATTTCTTGCACCAGGACACTAGTAATAAATAAATCACAGTTGCATTTGTAGAAAGACCTTATACCATCAAACTGTAGTTAACAGAAACTGACAGGTCTTTTTAAAGAAGTATGATGTTAACTCTACTCTCTTTTCCTGTTCTCCTTAGCACTTCAGTGTTTTCTTCTTTGAACTGTTTCAAACTTCTAACTTTCTCTGTTATACTGAGTAGTTGAATGGCATGTAATTATCAAATAAATTTCCACCCTTGTCATTCAAGTAGATAGCTTTCTCCTACACTATTATATAACTTTTATTATCAAGTGATTATTAAGTATGCTTTATTTAAAAATCTCTAAAATCTTAATTCCAGGTAATATATAGGGTATCCAAAAATGTATATTTTAACAACTCAATTTTGAAAATGTATTTTAATAAACATTGCCTTTATAATTATTCAAAGTATGTGTATACATTTTTGGGATACCTATATTTTAAAAATGGTGCAAGTTTTATTCTCACATTTACTGTATCCCAAATGTAAGAGTCTCTTAACATGGAATGAGTGCCCCTAAGCAAGTCTTACTTTTCTGTATTTCATTTATTGCTAAACTTCATAAGCAAACAAGAAGTCCAGAGTTTTATCTTCCGCCTTCTTTGTCATTTGCAGAATTCCTTGAAGATTGCCCCCATGAAACAGTATTACTTTCAGGAGTATGTTTTTAAGATAACTTTGTGATGGTGCTATTTGTTTTCATCTATCTAATAATTAGGATGCATTTTGGTGTTCATTTTAGCCAAGTCTTAACAGATTAATTTTTACTAATTTATAAAATTAAACATAACGGTTCTCAATATAAGTGTGTAAATGGGCCTACAAATGACAGCCTTGCCTTAGCTGCCACTCAGGAGGGAGAGTGTTCCTGCAAACCTGCACGGAAGCCTTTGCTTTCCCATCCTCCTTTAGCCTAGCAAGCTGTAGGGAACGTGGACTTTCTCTTCCTCCGTAGCCAAAATAAAGGAGGTGGCTGTAGAAGACATCTTTTCTGGACATTTTTTTAAAACTAAATAATTAATGGGTGTAAAGAGAGCAGAATGCCTGAAGAATGGCTTTGTGTATAACACATTCAACAGTGACTTGAGCTTACTCCTCACGAGTGGCTGGATACTATGACCTTCCTGTAACCTTACGCCCTATACATGAAAAAAAAAAAATTTAAAACTTTAGCCCTAGCTGGTTTGGCTCAATGGATAGAGCATCGGCCTACAGACTGAAGGGTCCCAGCTTCGATTCCGGCTAAGGGCACATGCCTGGGTTGCAGGCTCGATCCCCAGTAGGGGGCGTGCAAGAGGCAGCCAGTCAATGATTCATCATTGATGTTTCTCTCCTTCTCCCTCTCTAAAATCAATAAAATATATATATTTTTAAATAAAATAAAATTGTAATATATTTCCTTATATTATTTTATTTTTTATTGGTTTTAGAAAGGAAGGGAGAGGGAGAGAAATAGAAATATCAATGATGAGAAAGAATCATTGATCATCTGCCTCCTTCATGGTACCCCCACTGGGATTGAGCCCACAACCCAAACATGTACCCAGATTGGGAATCGAACTGAGACCTCCTGGTTCAAAGGTAGATGCTCAACCACTGAGCCACACTGGCTAGGCATATTTCCTATTTTAGAAATGAGGATTATAGTTAACAATAATTTGAACTTAATTTGTCAAGATCTGTAGCATTTCTCTGAGACATATAACTCTGAAGACTCCTCATACTGAGTTTCATTCTTCAACTCCATTTTCCCAGAATCATTTATTGAAGAAAATGTCTTTTCTCTATTGAGTAATCTTGTCCCCTTTGTCAAATACTAGTTGACTATATATGCTTGGGCTTTATTTCTAGGCTCTCAGTTTGATCCATTGGTCTCTTTTTCTGTTTTTATGAAGGAGGCATTTTTAATCATTGAATTATTATATTATGTCCTTTGCTTAGGGTGTACCAGTGATGGCAATAAGAAACAAAATGATATCAGAAGGACTAGACCCAGATCTTCTCGAGTAAGTAATTCTTCTAATATGATATTACCGCTGAGATGTTGAATTTATCAGTTATAATAAAAAGATTTCAAACTCTAGATATTTTTCCTATACAGTATTTTATAGTTGAGGGAACTACATTCATAAATAGTGTTACAAAAATGAAGAATCTATCATATGTTGTTAAAACCAGCCTTTGCACATTTAAGGGCAGTTATAGTACAAGAGTGATGAATCTATATATCCAGAGAGATGAAATTTGATGTCAATTTTGTTGCACAACAGTAATGTCCTCAAGAAGCAATGGTGTTTTTCTCTCCATGCTACCTTTTTCTTTCTCCTTTTAAATTATCTACCAGATATTTGTTTAATACCTTAGTATATAGGAAATTTACTCTACCAAGATCTAAGTTGAACCAGATTGAGACATAGATAGGGTAAAGTCACTATAGGTCCACATTAATGGTTATTATGGAACTAGATGTCAGTTTTTGTGAGTTTTATAAAATATTTTTGAGAAATGCTGTAAATATATGGCTCAGGAATTTGTCAAGAATTTATTTCATCCAAGCAAACCTAGCTACATAGCTCATCCTGGATAAATACATATCTTCATGGATTATTCAGAAGTAGTCTGTTTTGCAAGTATCTGGATACTTGTAAAAAGTCTCTCCAGTTTGGGATTTTGGTCCACCCCACTGTATTTAGCTGTGTGTTCCAGGTGTTTGTATTCTACTAGCAATATACTGCTTTGTTGTTTTTCTTGGCTCTTAGCCCTTCAAGAAACTGTGTGTTTTGCATGTGAAACACCGTAAAACAGTCTTTTTTCATATTTATCTTCCAAAATATGAAATTTAAGAATTTTTTAAAAGTCTACAAGAACTGCTTCCCAGCATGTGTCTGCATTTAGTGCATATCCAAGTAGCTGAAGTCCAATGGCATAGAATGGTAATTTGAACTAAGGCATCTTCGGGATATTTGACATTCGTTCTGGAAATTCTTTCTGACACACACTTTACAAGCAGATGGATTGTGGCATATTTTAGAATGTGACTTCTACGGATGGGTCCAATCCATTTTGGTACTCATTGACATATATATGTTATAAATATATTCAGCATTGACCATGGCCTCCTTTTTGCTTCTGGAAATACACAGTAGACGAAATATATAGTAGAAAGCTAAAATGACTTTTAAAAGGCTGATTTTTTTTCTCTCTAGAGAAAATGTAATAAATAGAAAACTAGCAGCCCTACAAGCATCAACAGATGCTGACTCTCCACTCCTTTTACCTCCTATTGACTTTACGTTATCCCTTGCCCAGACTAAACCTTCATAATTTTTTTATCCACATTAACAACTTGAAAGTCATCCTCGATTGTGCCCTCTTCCCTACCCCTGACTGTCAGTCACTACGATAGACTCATTTTTAATATTCCTTACATCAGACCATATACCTCCATGCTCATCACTGCTTACTTCAAACTCTCATCATTTCTCACCTGAATCATTATTGTAGCTCCTGATTGGTTTCTCGTTTCTTTTTTAATCTGTCACTAAAGCTTGAGTTTTCTGTTAATACTTCATTCTTGCTTCAAATCTTTCTGTGACCTGCCATTACCTTCAGCATGTAGTTTAACACTAGAATTACATGTAAATGCTTTTGTCATCAAGACCCAGATTCTCACTTGAGCTTCATTTCTTGCCACTGTTCCATACCACCTCCATGGAATTTCCTTCCCCCATCTTACTGGCCTGGCTAAGTTCATATTCTCCAAGATTCCAGTTAGGTATCACTACCCAAAGAAGTGCATGGATGACTACCGAGGGGAGAACTCCCAGTACCCGCAATCCTTCCTTGGTATATCTCACTTAGCAAATCTGAGGGTATGTCATTGTCTTTAAATGTTAAGAAACATTTGGTTGCAAAGCGGTGCCAAGTTTTAGGGTAGAATTCCAGTAACGGTTAAAACATCATCTTACACGAAAGCTGCTCCTCAACCACAGCCTGGAGCCGGAATTCTGACCCATTGCCTCATAAGTTCAGGCCATTGGTCACAAGGGGTACTGGTCAGAGTGGGGGTGACTCACTATAACCTGTCACCACCACTACTAGACCAACTTCAACAACACTTAGCCAGATATGAGAAGTGGAATCAACTGCCTAGTTTAAGAGGAATTCTAGCGCTTGGGGGATCATATTTACCTAAAAGTTAAGGAGCCTCGCTCTGGAAGAAAGCTCTTGGCTGATGAAGGAGAAAAAAATGTGCCACCCAAGTGAAGAGTGTACTTTTATTTAGAATCTTAGGTACATAGTAAGCCTCAGCCAAGAACTTTCCGTGAAAGATTGTTCTGTGTTCTCTTTTCTTTTAAAATATAAACTACACTTTTTTTTTATTAGCCTCAGATAGTAAGACAGACTCATATAACTGTTAGAAAAAATAGTCAAGATAATCTGTACTGAGCAAAGAGCAAAGCTGAAATAAATACTGATCAGAAAATACATTATTATTTGATTATATATAAAATTTCAGTGGCTAAGAGTACATAATTTTAAACTAAAGCAGTGTAACATGCTAAAGGAGAAGAGAGCCTGCTTATGTTCCTAGAAAAATGTCTATCACTAAGTTTCAGGAAGTCTATGAGACTGAAGTAAATGCCTGGTAATTACCAAATAAATGGTATTTTTAAGTTATTATCTTTAAAAATCCAAGTTTTCAAAAATATCAATAGTTGTATATAACCAATAGTCAGTCCTATTAGTTTCCAATGCCACTAAAATAAAAAGATATGTGAAAGAGCTCAATTAACAGACACACCAGCTGGGCGAGAGCAGATCTTTAAAGTTCTCATAAAAAGAAAAAAATGTTTGAAGTTATATATGAGGGTGGACATCAACTAGAATTAATGTGTGATGGTTTCACAATATATACTAATAACAAAGTGTATTATATTCCTAAAACTAATATAAGGTTATATATCAATTGTATCTCAATTTTTAAAAATGAATGAAGATAAACAATGCAAGTTTGGCAAAGAAATTGAAAAATTGGAAACACTTATGTACTGTGTATAAATGATATAACCACTATGGAAAACAGTCTGGCAGTGCCTCAAAAAAATTTACCCTAGAATTACCATGTAATCTGTCAGTTCCACTTCTGAACATATACCCAAAAGTAAAAGCAAGAACTCAAAACATATACAAGCAAAAGTAGGCTTACAGTTGTAAGTACATAAAACACATAGTTTATTCTTGTATTATTATTTATTGATTATTGTACTATTTGCCATATGAACAACTATAAACCTACTTTTACCCCACCCTGTATTTGTATTCCCATGTTCATAGTAGCAGTAGCCCAAAGGTGGAAACAACCCAAATGCCCATCCACAGATGAATGGTTAAACAAAATGTACTCTGTGCACACAATGGAGTATTATTCAGCCTTAAAAAGGAAGGAAATTCTTGTACATGCTATAACATGGATAAACCTTCCATTATGATAAATGAAATAAGCCAGTCACAAAGTGACAAACACTATACGATTCCACTTAGAATAGTCAAATTGAAAGACAGAAGGTAGAACAGTAGATGCCAAAGCCTGGAGGGAAAGAGTGTAGGGGAGTTATTACTTAACTAGAGGCCTGGTGCGTGAAAATTCATGCACTGTAGGGGGGATCCCTCAGCCCGGCCTGCCCCCTCTCACAGTCCAGGAACCCTCAGGAGCAGGAGGCGGCCCAGTGATCAGGGGAAGGAAACACCCCCATCATACCTCTGCTGCTGCCACTGCCAGCAGTTCAAGCTTTGGCCGGCCCTAGTTATCTGAGCCTCGGGAGGCCCTGGGCAACTGGACCGCAGACATCCGACACTTGCCTATACCTTGGGCTGGCCCTAGGTGGCTGGGAAGCTGCCATCTGAGGCTTGCCTGCCCCTCGGGCCAGTCCTAGGTGGCTGGGGGACTCTGGAGGCAGGCACACAGAGTGGCCAGATCCTGGGGTGGGCCCGGCTATGCTGCACGCCTGCCACCTTGGTGAGGCTGAGGGTTTGGCACCAGCATCTTGTGGCTATTGGCTCATCCATCTTTGAGGGTGTGGAAGTCAATTAGCATATTCCCTCATTGGCTGTGGGCACCACCATCTTTGTGAAGGTGTGATGATCAATTAGGATATTCCCTCTTTATTAGATAGGATAGAGTTTCAGTTTTGCAGGATGAAGAGAGTTCTGGAGATAGTGGTGATTATTACATAACAACGTGAATGTGAAATAAGGGACTATGTAAAAATCCAAAATTGTGCAATTGCAACGAAAACTTGTTTATATAACTTTTCCCAATACTTCACCTATTACTACTGCTAAATCATCTGATGTCATCTACTTTTGCACCCTACCTTCTAGCTACTGAATGACTTCCAGCTTCCCAATGTAGTATCATACCATTCTCATTTTTTTCTTTCTACTCAGATTCCCATCCTCACTTATTCCCACATTTTTTTGTTTCTGACAAACTTACATCCCAAAACCCTTCACAAGTGTCTTAATCTCTCTGGAGTTTTCTCTAACCAACCCTAGTAGAGTGAATTACTTTTCTTTTCACACGTGTCACTCATACAACTGTGTTTGTGTATGTCATACTGTATAACAATAATTGATTCCATTTCTATCTCCCCCTGGAAATATCAGCTTGTGCAGGACAGGAACTGTTTGGTTTTCATTTCTGTATCTCTGGCACCAAAAATGGTTCCTGGCAAATAATAGGCACATGATAATGATTAGAATAATAATTCTACAATAAAAATAATAGAAAATAACATTTAACATTCTTATTATATGCCAGATATTATTCAATATTAATCACTTTACATTTAGTGATTTATTTTAATCAACACAACATCTAGTTAGTTGGGTACAGAGTGGTTGAATAGCTTCTCCAAAGTTGCCTAACAAGTAAGTAGCAAGGCTGGGATTTGACTTCATAGTCTTTGTTCGTAACTGCTATGCCATATAGTATTATATATATCAAAAAGTGGTTACACACATAAATCAGTTAATTTGAATGTTTCACTCTCTTCTAGGCCTAAGCTACTTTTACCCTTCTCCTAAGTAGTGTTTATTTTAGGGGAGTTGTATACATTGTTTTATTTGAGTTGCCATAGATACTAATGTAATTTGGTGTAATAGTCAGATAATTTTTAAAATTTCCCTCTGGCACATTTTTCCTTTTTAAGCAAAGTGAAGACAATAAGAAATCAACTATTGAGCAAAGAGAAACTTACTGGGAAAATGTGCCTGGTATTCATGCCCACTGCTTCTAGAATTCTTGCTTCCATGGGTAGTGAAGAAGACTGTGGTTCCATGTTAGTATTTTAGGCAGACAGAGCATCAGTCAACACCTAGAAATGTTGTGGCCAGCTTTCACATTGTACTCTATTGAGTGCATGTGATTTCCTCTTAGGCAAAATCTAAAATTGAACGGGTTTATATGTGATGACTAGAAAGCAGTGCCAGTATTTGTCCTGTTTAGTAGTTTTCCAGGTATGACATTAAAAATATAAGCCAGAACTCAACCGTCATTTTTAATGAGTAAATAACAGTAAATAATGAACTATGTATAGTAGTTATATGTCTAACAAAGAAGAGTTGTATTTCTGGGTGTTCCCAATCTTTAATAAAATCAAGGGGCTGAGGGAGACATAAGTGGTAGATTTTCATTATTAGAACAGAGCAGCTGTATTATTCCTCCTCTCTCTTTTTGTTTCCCCAAAAGTATACTTTCCTCACTTAATTCTTCTTGGTAGCAGGGGCACAGGCTGAGTGATAGTGCTCCCAGGTGAACTGAATGGTTTACTGACACACGGTGGAGCCTGTCTAGTTGTCGGTTTTAATGACAGTATTAAATTTTATTTTGTTTTATGATAGCACAGCCTTGTGGAGTTGGAGTTTAACATCTTCATATCTCCATGTTGCACATAAATGAAAACATTCAACACAATGCAGACAGAACCTTTGCCCCCACCGATTTTCTATATTGCCTATGTTTCTGAATAGCCACTCTTAAACTCTCTTCCACTTAAAAAACTTCTCCCTGCAGCTTTCCTGAGCATGAAAGTTTTCCCTTTCTTTCCACTGCTGGCTTTTCTTTCTCTGGACTCCAGGGCACTTGGAGGCTGCCTGGCTGTGGCAATGGCCCTGCCAGTCTCCCCTGATCACATCTCTGTCTATAGCTCATCTCCATGGCAATGAGAAGCATGAAGTGCTGCAGCAGCACACTCCGTAAGCACTGGCAAAAGAAGACAGCGCCAGGGCCCGCACAGGAAAGGCACTTAATCCCCACGATGCTGGAGACGCCAGGGAGAGCGCGCTGCGGTGGCGAGTGGGAGTCTCTCTCAGTTAAAGACGCAGACTTGGCAGATTTATGAGCAGCAATATTCAAGGATGAACCTCATTTACAATGAGTAAGTGCTTTTTTCAACTGGAAAAACCTTTAAAAATGTTTCCCTTCTCTTTCAGGAGGCCAGATGCTCCAGTGCCTGATGGAGAAGGTGAAAAAAATGCAGAGGAAAGTTCAGATAGTGAATCCTCTTTTAGTGACTAAGATTAACTTTGATAATAACTACAGATAACACGTGTAGGCGTACTTTATGTTCTATCAGAAAGAGAGTCTGAACTTGAACTCTTTGCCAAAACAACATCAAATGGCCAGATATTCATCACCAAGCTTCCTCAGTGCTAAAATTGTAATAATAATAAAGCATTTATAACTTGGCAGTATATCTTGTTACCAATTAAGGACCCTGACCTGGAAAATAAAATAACCTAAAAAAGTTAAATCAGTGCTACCAATACCAAGATGGAATATTACAGAGATGTAATGAGCATTTAACATAAAATCAATGTGAGACTAGTGATCAAAAATAGACTGCAAAAAAAAGTGAATTTGGCTGTACTCAGTTTTTGTGACTTTTAGCATGAAAGTATTATGTTCATTTGTATTATAAAAGTTGCTCAATTTCTGGCAGAAAGTAATATTGAAGTTTTATGTGACAAATTAGAGCTTATATATCATATATATTATGGATATGGAACTTATTGGTATTATTAGCTTATAGTGTTTTTTGCCACTTCACCATAAGTTCTTATACCATCAAAGTTAGATATTCATATTATATTTGTTATCAGATAGAAATTTAATCAAGGTAGTTTCAATGTGGTTCATAGTGAGCAAGCATCATTATCATCAGCTCTTATTGCCTAAACAACAACAACAAAAAATATATTCAATTTTCACAGGTTTAAAATGTCCTCACCAAATAATTATTGAATAATTATTTGCACACAATCTAGAAAATCTGTAAAATAACCCCCATGGGTACTAAAATTTATGGATGCTCAATTCCCTTATATAAAATGACAAAATATTTGCAAATAACCTATCCACATCCTTTTGTACACTTTAAATCATCTCTAGATTACTTTAAGTGCCTAATACAAAGTAAACACTATGTAAATGGCTATTATACTGTGTTGTTTAGAGCCTAATGACAAGGAAAAAGAAGTCTATACATGTTCAGTACAGACGCAGCTATCATAAGCCTGACACATAGTACATGTCAGCAATAGTGCAACATTTTCACAAAATATTTTCAATTCACTGTTGGTTGAATTCACAAATGGTAAATCTACAGATATGAAGAACCACCTACACTTACAAGGAAAGATATATAAATACATTTGGTTAATGGTGCTCATTTTCGTTTAGGGCACCTGAAAGTAGACCCTGAAAAAGAACTTGAGTATAAGTCATTTGTGAGGTAATCCCAGGAAGCAAAAGGAAGAGAACAGAATCGGGGGGAAAACCCATACAAAGGTACCTTATCCAGATTGCCATTGGGGAGCTTGGGATGTGGTCCAAGGACCATAGCACCACCTTGGAAATGAGCAAGTGCTCCCCAGGATTGTCTACCAGAAGGACTAGAGCCTGAACCCTCTGTCCATTGGTTTAAGGCTACTCATCATTTATGTGATATACTTGCACCATAGGCCTGGGGTTCCCATGGCCTTTGAAAGAACACTTTGTCACAAAGTGGAGAAATGGGGCACTTCTTTGAGATGGGTTTGCTGTCACCAAAAGGTGAGTGTGAGATTGAGTGGGACTCTTACTAGAGCGCTGGCTGAAACCCCAGGAGGGCCCCCAGGACACCACCACAAGCATTGGCTACAGATAGAACTGCTTCTAAAATACAAAGTTGACTTGAACTTAACTATCATTTACAATGTATGATTTTTCTTGGATATAAAGATAAGTTGGACGGTAAGTCACACTCAAGATTTCCAGAACTTTTTCATTAAAATTTTTAGATTTTAAAACCTTCCAAGAATGACCAAAAGATAAACAATGACTAAATCTATATCTTTATAGTCTGTTGCAATTATAATGCAATTTTTAAATGTTTCCTTTTACACATACCCCGCTGAGTTCTTCTGCAAAACATTTATATCTGAACCAGAACATGGCTCCTGTTAGAGAGTAAATTGTGTCCATGTGCTCTTAAAGAGCGCCCAGACAACATAATGTTCAGGGGAACTTTTGTTTCTGATCAAGTTCTTCACAAAAACAAGCTTGGTTTCCAGGAGTCGTGAAGAACTTTAATTCCCACAGTTCAGGTCTTTCCTTCAGCAGTTGCTGCAGCAGTGCCAAGGTGTCTTTTCAAAATCATTCCCTTTTACCTTTCTTGTTGATAAGATTTACAAACAAAAAGATGGTCACTAAAATCACTTGTTGCCAGTTTCTAAAATTCAGTAAATTTTTTTTCCCAATCAAGGACTATATTTTCTCTCCCAGCTGAAACTTGCCATTAGTTATCCTTCTCAAAGCAATGGAGAAAGATTGTATTTTGTTAAGATGTCGAGTTGTCAAATTTTTATATAGATTAAATGCAATCCAAAAAAATTCCAGAATTTTTTAATAGAAGTTGACCAACTGATTCTAAAATTCATATAGAAATTAAAGGAACCTAGCTAAAATAGCCAACACAACTCTGAAAAAGAACAAAGTTGGAGAACTAGAACTATTTGATTTCAAGAGTTATTATAAGCTACAGTAATTAAAGTGTAGTACTAGAGTAAAAATAGACAAATATTTCAATGGAACAGAATAGAGAATCCAGAATTAAGCTGACATACACTTGGTTTTAATTTTCAACTAAAATGTAAAGGCAGGTTAGTGTAGAAGGCAGCATTTCAACAGATGGTAATGGAATAATCAGCTATTCTTATGTTAAAAAAATAAACTTTAATCCATACCTTGAATGTTATACAAAATTAACTTAGAATATATCAGAAACATAAACGTAAAACCTAAGACTACAAGAATTCTAAAAAAATATATAGGGGAAAATTTCTGTGTCCTCAGGTTAGGCAAAGATTTCTTAAATGCAATACGAAAAGTATGATCCATAAAAAAATTAAATTAATTAAACATAACACTAAAATTAAAAACTTTTCATCAGAAGTTACTGCTAAGTTCATGAAAAGGCACGCCATAGACTGGGAGAAAATGTTTGCAAATTATACATCTGATATAGGGCTTATCTCTGAAATATATAAAGAACTCTCAAAACTCAATAACAAAAGATCCAACTTAAAAAGATGGACAAAAATGTGATCAGGTATTTCAAAGAAAGGGTATACAGGTGACAAGTATACAAAGCAATGCACAGCATCATTAGTCATTAAGAAAATGCACATCAAAACGGCAACCAGATACTACTATGCACCTATTAGAATGGCTAAAACTAGAAAGGTTGACTATACCAAGCACTAGCAAAAATGTGAAGGATTTGAGGAAAAGTTTATATATATAAATAAAACCAAAGGAGATCCCACATACATATGAAACAAAGAAAAGCAAATAATACAATATAACAAAATACAAAAAGTAAAATCCAAGTAAACTTTACAAAAATAAAAAGAGTGCATATTAAAATTATATATTGAGAAGACAAATAATATATCTGAAAAATAAACCCAGAACAGCTAATATCAAGACATATTTTACTGTCCCTGTTGGGCAATAAGAAAAAAAAATCTTTTGGACATCAAGTCAAAACAACAACAAAAAATACCAAGTCACTTGTAAATGAAATAACATGAGATTGTTATCAAATTTTTTGATAGCAATGGTTTATGCAGAAGACAATAGCATAACATATTTAAGACATGCGGTGGGGAGGGGGAAGCAAGCTAAATATTTTATATCCAGCCAAACAAAACTTCAATTATAAACTTATAATCAAACTTAATCCTGGAACTCAACAAAACAAGCAACTAACCCAAATAAAAAATGGGCACAGTGATGATGGAAGGAGACTTGGCTTGGGATGGTAAACAATGCAATGCAAAGTTAATATATTATTATAGAATAGACACCTGAAACAATTTTATTAATGTCACCTCGATAAATCAATAAAAAATGGGTGCAAAACTTGAATGGGTATTTTTCCAAAGATATAAGTGGCCAATAAGCACATGAAAAGATACCTAACATCATGAATCATTAAGGAAATAGAAATCAAATCCATAATTAGCTATCACACCTATTCGAATGGCTATTATCAAACAAAGCAAAGCAGTGAATAAAAAATTTTGTTGAGAATGTAGAGAAATTGGAACCCTTATACATTGCTGGTGAAAATGTAAAATTGTGCAGCTATTATGGAAAATAACACGGCAGTTCTAAAATAAATAAATAAATAAATAAATAAGCACAGAATTACCATATGATTCAACAGTTTCACTTCTGGGCGTATACCCAAAAGAAATGAAGATGTCTTCACAGCCTAAAGATGGAAAAACAATTCAAATGCCCATTCATGGATGAATGGATAAGCAAAATGTAGAATATACATCCAATGCAATATTCACCTTAAAAAGGAAGGAAATTCTTTTTTTAAAAATATATTTTATTGATTTTTTACAGAGAGGAAAAGAGGAAAAAGATAGAAACATCAATGAGAGAGAATCATCGATCAACTGTCTCCTGCACACTCCCAACTGGGGATGCGCCCGCAATCAAGATATACCTATTGTTCACATTATATCTTCCCTAGAAGGAGATTCAGATGAGCAAACAAGGCTGCAATAGAGTTTAACAACCAGTACCCTGTGCTAGATGTTGGACAAAGATTTATTTGTTTATATAATGAACTAGAGGCCTGGTCCACAGATTTGTGCACAGGTGGGGTTCCTCAACCTAGCCTGCAGTTTGTGACAGGGTGCAGGTCAGGCTAAGGGACCCCACCAGTGCATGATCGGGCTGGGGAGGGACCACAGGAGGGCTCCAGGGCATGTCTAGCCCATCTCGCCCAGTCCTGATTGACCGAATCCCGGCAGCAAGCTAACCTACCAGTCACAGTGTCTGCCCCCTGGTAGTCAATGTGCATCATAGTGATTGGTTAAATAGTTGAATGAACAGTCTGACACTTAATATATTAGGTATTATATAGGAGTAGAGGCCAGGTGCATAAAATTTGTGCACAGGGGA